TTTTTATTGATTTGAGAACATTTCTGAAAATTAAATTAAATTGGCTTAGTCATTTTCATTCAATTAAAATTTCTGAGAAATTACTTATTCAATTAATTATAATTATATTTCTTATTTGGATTACCAGAGAGATAATAATATTTTAGTTTGTTTTTCCCAAAGAAAATGCTAGTAATTATTTAATACAGTATTTATTCTTTTATCAAGTATGATTGATTATTTACTTAAAATATTATCTAATTCTAGTATGATATTTTCATTATCATCTTTAAATAGAATTTAAAAAGGATTACAAACTTAATTAATTTTAAATTATAAATCTGGATTTTTATCGTCTTCAATTTCCATTTCTTAATCTGGAGATTTATATTTTTAATAAAATTCATATAATTATTAAATAAATTAGCAAGCTTTATTCAAACTCTATAATTATTATTTCTCTTCATAAATTATCTTACTTTAAGAAATATCTTAAAGTAATTATTTAGCCTATTCTAATTATTCATTTTCAAATATTTCATTATCTAATAAAGCTTTAATTTCTTTCTTTTTCTATAAACATTTAGTTATCTCTTATTCAAATTGATTAATAATCTTTTCATCAAAATTTAATTCTTTAGATTTTTCATAAGCTTATTCTAATTATTAAAGTGTTTATGATTTAGCTATTCTAATTTTTTCAACCTCTTAAAATTATTCTAATCTTTTCTATAATTCAGAAATTTCAGGTACATCATAAATTTTATTCATTTATATTTCTGCTTAAAACTTCTTTCTCATTTATTCATTTAAATTTTTCTATTCTATCATACCTCTTAATTTTTATCTAAATTCATTTAATTGTTTTTCAACTTATTCCAAAATCTATTTATCTTTTTCCGGGGCTCTGATTTCAATAGATAATTATTTCAACATCTAAAGATGATCCCATGTAATCTTAGTTTAAATATCCTTAGTAACTTAGATTTCACTGTCATCTTCATCTTTTTCTTATAATTCTAAATCTTGCATATATCTCTCATACAATTAATATTTAGATATTAATTCATAAAATTCTGGAAAATCTTTATAATGAAATGGTAATTCTTCAAGCTTACTTAACAATATTTATATTTCATCATTTGATTTAGTATTTTCTAATTATTAAACAATTAATTATCCTTCTTCTAATTCTTATTTTAATATTTCAACCCATGGTACTGATATTAATAATGCATTAAATTCTTGTATTGTTTTTTCAACAAATTATTTACTTAATTTCATCTAATTTAATTTGATTCTAGTTTCAGAAGTAAGACTATAAAATTATTAGTAATTTTTAATTTAAGTCATTTACAGACCTAAAAAGCTTTGTAATTTTTCATAATCTTCCAATTCATCTTCTATTTCATCTTCTTCTTCAGAATCTTAGATTTCTTCATTCATAATTTATTCAAAATCACAGAATTTATCTTCAGCTTCTTATAATTTATTAATAAATCTTTTCTTAATTCTTTTATACTCTTATAATTATTATTATAAATATATGAATTCTTAAAATTCATTTGATTTATATTGATTTTAAATTGTTTTTTTAGTTACTTTAGTTTTAGATGTGATAATTTGAAATGCTGATTATAAATTATTCAATTTATTTAGTAATTCAATATAAAATTTGGATTCATCAAAATCTTTAAATAAATTAATAACTTAATTTAATTTATCTTTCAAAGCATTATTATTTATAATATTTTATTAGATTATTTGATTAGATTCATCTAATTAAGATAGTATTATCCATTAATTATCATCTCTATAATGTATTTATTATTTAAAAAGGAAATTCATAAAATCAGTGACATTAGATTTTTATTTAATTTATGATAATTATTATTATAAGGGTTGATAGAATGGTAAATTACCTAATATAGTTTCTATAATTGAGTATTCAGATTCAGAATCTAATAAATAATTATTAAATATTTTACATGATTATATTTGAGCAGTCAAACTTCTTTCACAATAAATACCTAAAATGATAAGAGTATTAAATGTCATTTTTAAAAAAGGTGGCAATAAAGACTTTAAATTATTAACAGGAACATATTTAAGAATATGATCAAATCTATAATTGCTCCATTAATTACAAAATGGACAGAAATAATGATCTTTATTTTTCTATTCTTCATAATCATCTTGATATTAACGTAAACATTTATCATGATACCATTCCATACAGGTTTCACACTAAACCATTTCTTCAGAATCATTAGCTTATTATTATTAACAACAGCAATATATCTATTATTTCTAATGAGGAGAACAATAGAATTCAACCAATTAACTATTTTAATATAAATAAAATACTCTTTTTCTTCTTCAATCTTTTCTTATTATTGATATATATCATATAATTAATCTATATTAATTTACTTGTCTACTTTTTAAATTTCCATAAACTATTATAAAATAATTTAGGATTTAGTTTTTAATTGAGTCTTATCATTTCCTGCTTCTACAATATTTCCAGAACAAAATATTTATTTATAATTAAATTGAATTTCCCATCCTGTAGGTTTTTATTGATTTTCTGAATATTATAAATTGTAACCACCAAAACTTACTATATAATTTACCATACAATAAATATGTGCATAAGTATTACATTCTTATTATTAACATTTAATTGTGGCTCCTTATGATTTACAATAAGAACATATTTATTTAGGTATTTGTATTATATTATTAGGTTTCTTGAATTTAATTTCCATAAATGATGTTAATTCAAGTTGTTTAGATAGTAATCCACAAAGAGGATGAACAAATTCATTTGTATCATTAATTCTCTTCTTCAAACCGCCTTTTTGATTACATACAATGCATATTTGATCTTGTTTTTGACTATATTTGCACTTATCACATGCAAAATATCCTTAATTATTAGAATTGGGATTCAACTCTATTTCAGTGGAAATACCATAACAATACAAGTGACAACTCAATTAACAACCATAACAGGATATTATTGTCATTCCTTTTTAACTATTATTTTGCTATGTTTACCTCTTTCTTATTATTAATATCTACTTTCGAATCCAACTGCACAAATATCACAAGCTTAACTCTAATTGATTTTTTAATATATTTATACTTATAAATCTCTTGATATTGTTAACTTTTTAGGTCTGAATCCAATATCTTTCTTATTTAATTGGTTATAAACTAAAGATAAAATAGGAATTAAAATTATTATATAATGGTATATATAGTGAACAAATGTATAATATATAACACACCTACTGAAAGATCTTATTGCTCATTTTCTTCGTTGTCCATTTTCCCACTCTAATTTGCTTAAAATGTTTAAAAAAAATAATTAAATTATTTATATTTAGAAATCCTTTAAATTATTTATATTGTATAAATTATATATTCTTTATTACTACTTGTGTTGTCCCTTTTTACTAAATTTGTTTATCATTAATAAATATTCTAAGTATCAGATTGTATACATTTATTTATTACTTATCTATATATCTATTGATATTTATACAATTTTAGTTTTATATTAAAAATATAAATAATCGTTAATGATTCCCTCTAAAATAATCAAAAGATAAGAATAACTCACATCAAATCCAATCTAAGATGTTTCTTAAATGAAAAAGGTACATAGTAATCTAATGATGGTATCTAAAGCAAGTAGTTTACCAAAATAGTTTGATAAGAATGAGAAATTAAAAACTACAGGAAATAAAATGGAATCTTTTAAGCATTCAAAAAATAACTCTATGAATCATTTATCAACAACTGAAAACACTAAAATTATAGATTCTATTCAAAATGTTTCATCCATTTATATTAATAATAAAACAGAAGAAATTTAACTTAGAAATGAGATTTAACTTAAAGCATAAATTATTGCAGATTTAAATAAACATGTTTCTTAATTATAATAATAAAATACAAACTATGAAATGATTATTTCATAATTGGAAAAAGACGTTTAATAATTAAATTAAACTATAGAAAAAATGTGTGAATAAATAACAGATTCTAAAAATGATTATAACAAAGAGTTATAAAAAGTTTAAGATTAAATTATAAATAAAGATAAAATCATTAAGTTTTTCAAAGCAGAAAACTAATAATTGTTATCTATTATTAAATAAGGTTCTTATGATAAAAAAAAAGTAGATAAAGAGAATTAACCAAATATTACTTAAGCTAATTAATAGGATTAAATTAATTATTTAAAAGATTAAATTGATCTATAAAGAAAATAGTTTTAATAAACTGAAGATTCTTTATAAAAATAAATAACTGGACTCAATTAATTTGTAAATGAATTATTTCAATAATAATCATCTGATAGATTAAATACAAATATAAGTAGTAGAAATGATAAAGATAATAGAAATAGAAAATTATCATTATAAAATGATATGGATACATTTCAATCATAATTATAATAACTTGATAAATAAAAAAATAAATTAGATCATAAATTTGATAATATCTAATGCAATCTAAATTAATTAACTGAAAAACAATTAAACTCTGTTTACACAGATAACAATTAAAATATGAAGGAAATCATTAAATTAAAATAAATAGTGTAAATATAAAAGAAATAAATTGAATTATAGTAAAAAACAATACTTAATCAACATTTCGAAATTCAAAATTTATAAACTTTACTTTATAAAAATGATCAATATAGTATTTCTAAGACTAAAGAAATTAAAGAAAATAATGAAGATATTATAACTAATGAATTTACTAATTCTCCAAAAGATGATATGTAAATTTTTATATTTATATATAGTTATCATTTAAATGATAGTTAAAGTGAGATTAAACCTAAATATTATATGGATAGTATATAAAATACATTCCAGAAGTTTTAAGTAATAACAGAAGAAAGCACTTTTAGAAGTTGAATTCTATACTTTAAATCTATTTAAATTATTAGTTTTTTTTTAATTAATTATTTATTTCCAAATAGTATAAATCTATTAAGTTAATGAATTAACCAAAGAATAACATAATATTAACAGATGATCAACATGAAAAAATAGAATAATTGTTACTTAAGGTTCAAGCAGAAGTTCCAAATTTAGTAAGGGAAAATCTAATTTAAAAATATTAGAATAAGGATCATTTAATTAGATTAATGATTGCTAGAGAATGGAAGGTAAATGATGCATTTGAATAATGGAAAAGATGGGTTGAATGGAGAAAACAATATAGAGCAGATGATATCAAAATTGAAGAAATTTAATAAGAGATTGATTTAAGAAAAGCTTTTTGGAATGGAGTTGATAAATTTGGAAATCCATGTTTAATTATTAAAACAAAGAGACATTTCCCTGGTTAAAGTAATCCTGAAACACTCATAAGATTTTTTTTGTATATAATTGATTAAGGAATTCAGAAAGCAGATTTAGCTGGAACTGGTAGAATTAGTGTAATTTGGGATAGAGAAGGTGTTACATCAAAGAATTTTGACACATCAATGTTTACAATAATGAAGAAAGTAGTAACTTTAGTTTAAGATAATTATGCAGAGAGATTAAATTAATTATTTATACTATATCCAAATTTCTTAGTTAAATCTATTATGACTGTTATTAAACCATTCCTAAGTGAGAAAACAAAATCTAAGATAATATTATGTAATCAGATGAAGGATCTACAATAATATGTTGGTGAGAATTATTAGATTTCTGATAATTTAATTTATGAGAATGTTGAATAAGTATAAGGATAGTACAATGAAGAAAATTAAAATTAAATAGAAGAGATTATAAATTAATGATATTATTATATATAATATATAATATTTATATATAAATTATATGTCTAATAGAATTTCTAAACAATATATTAGAATTATAAAAAATCATTTGTTAAACATCCTAAATGGTAATGTATTCTTTTCATTTAAATTTACTTAAATTTGAAAATTCTATAAAATAAATCTAATAATTTCATTAATCATTTCATTTTTATACTGATAATTTACTGTGAGTTTAAATATTAAAAATACTCTTAAAAAAACTTTATTTTCTCTAAACTGTTATCATATGGAATTTAAATATTATAATTAAATTGAATGATAAATAATTATAATTTAATAATAGTAAATCAGACTAGAAAGTAACCTTTTCTTCTTATTGTTGTTTATGGTAGAGTAGATGTTTTTTCTTGTGAAACTATCCATTATTGAATATTATTAAATTATTCAATAGTTCTGTTTATAATCTTATTAAATTTGATCCCTTCATACTTATTATATAAACCTTCATATCTTGGTGAATTATTAAAGCCAGTTTTATCACTGGCTAAGGCTATATATTAATACATTTCCAATTTTCTATTTGGTGTCATATGACTCATCAAAACCTTGTCCTTAATAGACCCAAGACTTTGATGAGGATTTGAAACTATAACTCTAGATGGATCGAAAATTTCATTTGATAGAAATTAAGAATTATATTTTTTTTCAGTTTATCTAATGTTTAAATTTGCTGTATCTTTAATGACTTTAATGTCTGGTATTTTCTTTTGAAAATATTTATCAACATAATATTTCTAATGGATATTATCAGATGTTTATGGAAATACAATTTCATAACATTCATCATCTGATGATACTTATTCTATATCAACAATTAGATGATCTTTATTAATCTTATTTGATAAACTTCCTTATTCTAATCTACTCAAGGCTAACAAACGAACTCTTGAATTTTCATCCTAATAAAAATACTAGAGATTACCTCATAATTTCCATTAATCATTCTTTCATGAAAGAGTTTGGCTTTCTCAATTTATCCAACATAAAAATAATACTTTCCCAATAATTCATATGCAAGTAATTCATCATTCTTTTATTTTAGTTTCCAAGCTGCCATCAAATATTTGGTGAAATACAGTTAACTTAATTTTGGATAGATTCTTAATAGACATTCACCTAAACCTCTGTAGGCTTTCATTTTTCTAGTAAAATGAGTTTCACTATCTGATAATCTCTTACAAATTTTAAAATATATAGCTCCTTGTATAGGATTATAAAATAATTATTCTATTTTTCCAAAAATGTAAAGTATTTTTTAATGTACACAAATATTTTTTGATTTGAAACATTCAAGTAAGATTTCTTTCATTGATTATTCACATTCTTATCTATTAAATTTATAGGCTAATAAACTAGTTAAATTTTATATAAGTTATTCTATGCTTAGCCATGCTTCAGTTAAGTACCTTGAGATTTTTTAATCAGCAATAGTTTCATCATAATCTTATGAATCTCTTATAGCTTTAATATCCTCATTATATTATTGGATGATATATTAGGTCATTTTGTAAATGCGAGATTATTTTTTAAGAGTATCAGGATTAATTTATAAGGTTTCAGGAGCCTTATAAATATTAAAGAAATCACTCTATCTTGTACATTTTTTAGTAAGTCTTTATCCTATTTTTCTTTTAGATTTTGTTTGTTTCATCTTCAGTTCTGGTAAATGAGCAAGTGGAGTTTGATAATTGCTATCTGTTCTGTCTGTTTAAGGTTAACGTGATTCTTTTAGGTTCATAATTTTATTTAGAGATATTTAAGTCTTAGAAAATGTTGTTCCAGATATTCCTAAGCTATCAGTAGTGTAATCTTGAGAAAATTTAATATTTTTCATTAATTATTTATAATACAAATCAAAACCTTATTAATAAATTCATCATTGCTCATTCAATCTCTCAAAGTTTTTTATAAATCTCCATTCTAAATTTTTAAAATAACCTTACAATAATTTTGAAGTAGTTAATAATTATAATCCTAGCAATCTAGGCAATTTAGAAATAAAATAAGCAAAATACTAATAAGAATGTTTAATTAAAGTTCATTTAAAATTAGATTAGATTGATCATATTGTATTTAAGAATATAAAAACAAAATCATGTATTAAGCTTTTATTTATAAAAATCAGCATTAATTATTATAATTAATTTTAAAATCCTCTAAAATTTTGTGATTCTAAAGTTGATAACATTGATTGGCTATTAATCAATATTCAATATTTACAAAAAGATTAGGAGTAATAATGTTGCATATAAACATAATTAAAACTAAAATATCTAAATAATTTTAACTAATTACTGTATTAAATCAAAAATATACAATATTTGTTTACGCCTTCCATGGATATTTTTGATATTGTATAAATTAATTAGAATTAAAATTTATTCTATTTTGCAACACCATTCTCTATAAAATTATTAATAATTTCAATTTTCGATATTATGGATTCATTGTTAAATAATAACTAATTATAGTAAAATAATTTTTATAAGCCATCAATCTAAATTAAATTTGAATCAATGATCCTTATTTAATAATAAATTCAAACTAAATTCATTTAGTCTAACTTTTTAAACAATTGTTAATTCCAAAAATTTTCAAACTCTTTATGAATTAATTTCATTTTATTTATGTTAAGATAAAGTAAAAAGTGAAAATAGTTCTCATTTCTAATACAATTTAAATATATAATTTTTACATTATTTAAACACAAAAAGATTTTTAAACTAGTTCTTATTATTGAATTTTATTAATTATAATGAATATCTATCCTCTAATCCAAAGTTAATAAGCAAATTTAACATTAATATCAAATACTATATAAAATGAAATATATTATAAATATAAAACTACTATCATTACAGTTTATAAATTGCGTAATTAATAATATAAAAAATTGCATATCAATATATTCACGTAGAATAATCAAGAAGTACATTATTATTGAATTGATTGCTACTTAAGCATTCTTTTATCTTTTTTCTTTGAGTCTTCCTTTTCTATCTTATTTTTTTTTAAATTAATATATTAATAGAAACAAATTATAATATATATAAAGTGTAGCTCATAAATTCTTGTATCGCTATAGACTTATTTAATATTGTATTGTTTTAAATAATTATGTTCTTTTTATGATGAAAAATATAGTTATTAGAATATTTCTTAAGAAACTATAAAATTATGGATTGTTAAGCTTTGAAAACTATAAAAACTAAATATTCAAAGGTCATGTTATTATTTTTAATTAAGCTATTAGTTATAATTGTAAATATTGATGTTTTAAAATTCTACATGATTAATCAACATCATTTTAAAACTTTGAATTTGTAAGCAGATTAATGCTAACTAATACAATACTACTTTTTAAGAGAGTTATGACCTTTTGTTCAATAGAATAAAAAAGAACTTTGACTTTTATATATATTTATATTATCATAAATGTTCAGTAAAAATGTGAAATTTATAATTTTAATATGAGTTCATGAATAGAAGCAAGCATCAAATATATTCTTACGATTCTTTTTTGTTCTAATTTTTTGATGAATTTATAAAATATTAGATAACTAATGTTTTGTTCATACTTTAGTTTAGAAATATTCAAATATAGGTTAATTATTAACAATATTTGAGCATAATGAAATGAATAGGGTAATAATTCCCCATTAGAAATGGTTAAAATTTGAAATTATATTAATTGATGCCTTTCATATAATAACAATTGAAATGATCGCATTTAAGGTATTAAATGATAAAGAAGGATGAGTTAGTAAAAGAAGGGAATAAAATTGAGGAATATTGAGCTTCACAATAAATAATTAGAGATGTTTATAAAAAATAATTGGAAATGAATGACATATTTTAAGGAAAGATCATATAAGAATTTATAGTAAAATAAAAATTGAAGTTAATAAGAAAGTTGAAATGGAATTTTACCATTTGGATTTATATATGAGTGTTGAAAAGACTGAAATTTATTTTTTAAATATGTTATTAGTGAATAGTTGGTTGATTTTAATTAAGTAATTAATTGTATTAAATCATGCAGTAAAATGAAAAGAGTAATATTTTTAATTTGTGGTAATTGATTGGGGATTGTTGAAAGTAGGGTATAAAATGAATAAAGGTAATTTTTACGTTCAAATTAAGAGTAAATGGAGAGGAAATATTTATAAATTTTAAAAAGTTGTTACAACTAATTTAATAAAAAATAAATAATTATTATTTTTCATATTATCAATAGCATTAACATTAGGTAATCAAGAGTTGATTCTTGGTAATACAAAGCCATATTATGATTAGTATAAATTATGTTAGATTGGAAATGGATATTATGTTTGATTAGGGGAAGGAGGTTCATGCTCTTGTTTTACATTAATTTATTATTTAACTTCTAGAAGTTGTTTAATTACTAATTATGATGCCCATAATAAATTTTGTAAAGTACTTTAATAAAGTGGATTAGGGTTTTCAATAGTTCTTTATAATTATTAGGATAATATGATATAGAGTTTTTAACATTGTGATTGAAGAAGAGAACGCTATTCTTTAGCTAAACTTACTTAGTCTTCTTTTGTTGGTTGTTTATCTATATAAATCTATATAATTATATTTAAATTTACTTGACTAACTTCGGATGATACAATAGGCTCTGATAGTTAAAATGTGAATGGATTTATGATTGATATTTTCAAAATATTCTCAATCTTTAGCTTCTTCTTTCTGGTTTCCTTTTTCCCTATACGACCATCTTTTTCGTATGCCTTTTAAATTGTGCGAACAGTACAGTATTTAAGTTTAAGTCTATTAGCTACCTATATTAAATAAATGTTTAAAATATCATATATATTAGTTATAGTTAATGATAATTTTAGCAATATTTGATACCTCTTAAAGAGAAAGTTTGTCATTGATGAGTAGTTTGAGTACAACTTTTCTTTCTTCTTTATTGATCTTTTAGTATTTTCTTGTATGTTTTTGTTAATCATCGACATCTCCTGATTTAGTCATGATCAAAGAATCTTAATTTATTATATTTATAAAATAAAATTTTAAAAATAATGCTTATTAATTTAAATTAAGATTCATTTTATTATTAATTATATACACTTATTAGCATTGATTTTAAAAATTATTAAAAAGTAATTAAAAATCATCTCTTAACTATTTAAAATAAAAAATAAAATGATAGTTTAAAAACCTTATGGATATAAGTATCATATTTATGTATTCAAAATTTTCTAAATAATTCACATCACCATATATAATAAATCATCTATAATTCTGATACTATCTTCGTTAATATTATTGGATTAAATTAAATATCCCAGCATATCAATATAAAAAAAGCAGATATTCTTGGATATTGATTTTAGACAATGTACTCAATTTCGTTTTAAAATTTATAATTATCATAAATACTCTTCTACAATCATAAAACATGAGTTTCTTTATTTAGAAACATTATAATCAATTGATCTTCAACAATGAAAATTTATCATCTAGGGCTTAGAGTTAATTTATTCTACAGTTATATTTATATATAAATTTTCAAATAATTACTTCTCAACTGAATTTCAAAGTAAATTTGCCAAAATAATAAGTATTGTTATACAATTTAATATCCATATAAATATAAGAATTATGATTCTATTATTGAATTTTGCTTAATAAATACATATATATATGATAAGTTTTGATCAAAACTCAAAATTCTCTTTATTTCTTCTAATTATTTTTATTCTTAATTGAATTTAAATGATATTGAATAAGAGATATTTATAAGTAATACATATTTATTGATCTAAATTTTTTAATTAGAGGAATTGATTATTTATTTAAAGTTTAGATGTTTATTATACTGAAGTAAATTAATTCTTTTGATTATGAGCTTATGTGGATAAAATTGAAAAGCAATTTAAAATTTAAAGGTTTTGTAATAAGTGTAAGTAATTTTTGAAGAATCTATTGTTGAATATATAATTTTTTTAGTAATAATTAATTATATTTTAAATGAATAAATATTATTTAGTTTTTAATATGATATATATCATTCTATTTTTTTCATCATGCTAAAAAATTCATCTAATGAGATTTGTCCATCAGAATTGGAATCAAATTCTTGAACCACTTATTTCCACATATCTTCAGAGATACCACTAAATATTTCTTTTAATTCATCTACACTAATCAAACCACTTTTATCCTATATTATATAATATTTTACTTTATCAAACATTCTAAATGTCATTTACAATCTCTATTTAGATAATAATTATTATCTATCTATAGTAGCTATAACAAACTCTATTCATATTTATATTATAAACATAAGTACCAGTATAATCTATAGAACCAGAATTATTTTTATCAACTTATTAAAATATACGATTAACTTCTTCTGCTGCTTCAACTGGTTTCATAATCTTAGAATATCCTGCCAATAATTCCTCTTTGCTTAATTTACCATCTTAATTAGTATCAAGACATTAAAATGTTTTTAATAATTCTGCTTTCTCCTCTTTAGTTGCTAATTAATTCACAATAAATTTAAAAACAGCTTCTTATAATTTTTATTATGCTGTGAATTTCTTCATATTTGTTAATACTTTTGTCATTAATGGTTTATCGAATTCAAGAGGATTACTAAACTTTTTAATCCAAGGATCAGATAACGCTTAATGAGCACTTAACCTTTTGCCTAAGAATCTATAAAACTTAACTACTTGGATCCAATTATAATAGTTTTCTAATGAAATCTTTGGCTTCCTTCGACACATCTTCCCATTCTTAAGAATCAAATGAATAAACTCCTTTTGAAACTTTCTCCATTATTTTATCTTCAGTTTTTCCATCAAATGGAGGATAACTTAATAATATATTCTATATATGTTACCCACATAAAAGTATGTATAAAATTACACCACAAGACCATAAATCACATTTTTCATCATATTTCTTTTTCAATACTTCAGGTGCTATATAATATGGAGTTCCTAATTTCTAATTCAATTTTTGATTTGGTACAAACTCTTTAGAAGTACCAAAATCAATTATTTTAAGTAAAGAATTTTCTTTTTCTGATTCATACAATAGATTCTCAGGTTTTAAGTCTCTTTTTAAAATATTCATTTTAATACCTATGAACAATCTTTTCATCATGACAATAATGAACTGCCGATAATATTTGTTTCATTATTTCAGAAGCTTTCTTTTCAGAAAAACTCCCCTCTGCTCTAATTTTATCGAATAGTTCTCCTCCTGTACACAACTCTGTTACTATATAGAAAAATCTTTCATCTTAATAAAATTCGAATATTTTAATGATGTTTGGATGATCCTATTAGATATAAATATTATTGATACTAATTTCTACAGCATCTTAACTTCATTCATTAACCTTTCTTATTCCTCTTTGCTAGTTTAAGATTTATGAATTATTTTAACAGCCTTCAATAGATTCGTACTTTTATGTATAGCTTTACGCACCTCTCCATAGGCTCCTTGAATTATAATCAATAACATTATATATACCACTTCCCAAAGGAGGATTTAAGAGTGTATAATCCTTTGTTATTCTTCCTAATTTCTCACTTGTTATTATTAGATGTCCGATGTCTGGTTATACTATTTTCAATTTAAATACATACCATCATTCAATTGATATTTTTAAGTAGTAGTATTGCCTTGGTCTGATTAGTTCTGCTGGTTCTTTGAAGCTAAACTATTTTAAGGTCTTTTTCCAGAGCAGGTACCCATAAGTTATTATAATTAATTTAATAAATGGGAACTTGTACTCAAACTAATAATAAAGTACTACATTAAGAAAAAACCTTACATAAATTGGTTATGTATTTCTATAATGTTTCTATGCATTCACATCCAGATATTGATAGTCTCATCAATATCAAATTAGATTCTTGTAAGATTATGCAAAGAGGATTGAGTAAAACCTTAACAGAAGAAATAGTGCTATTCTTAAATTCTTATTAGATTAGAACTCCAGAACAAGATGAATTACTCAATCATTTCAATTATGTTTACAAATAATCTTTAAAGAAGTTTAATCAATTTGAAACTAATCTAGGCAAAGTGATATTAATTGTATTATATATAATATATATCAGACATCAATAGAAGTGTTATTATGCTTTAAATCACTTGAAATGGGGGATTTAACACCTGTTGATGTTTGGTGGGTCTAAGAACATTTTCAAATTAGATATAGATTATTGAATGAATAATATAACGTAGAATACGACCACTTTTTGGATATGAATTTCTTAATTAAGTTTCTCTATCTTCTCAAAGAATGTGTGAGAATTGAACTAAAAAAGAATAGCCTTGAATTAAATTAGTTGTTTCTCTCAGTTAGGCATGACTAATCAGATATTCAACATACATCTAGAACTGAAGATAGCTATAAAAATTAATAAAAAAGATTAGATACAATTTGATGATTACCTCAATTTATTAATTAAATTTTGTCAATTTCTGAATAATAATTAAGTTTTATTCAATTATTACTCTATTTATAATTAAGTTAATATATATATAACAATATAATTCAAAGAGAATGACAAAATTGATCGTATTAAGAACATTTTTTTGGACTTCATTTCCAAGTATTATTAAATTTTTATATAGAATAATAAATATAAGTAATCTTAATTTAGGTTGAGTAAATTTACTATTCATAATATTTATTTATTTTGGTTTGACTTTGTTTAATTATTATTTGAATTAGAAAAAATATCAAACACTTTTAATAATTAATAGAATAATTAATTATGATTATCTTATGATAATTTTGATACTTTAAAATATCTAAAAAAATGGATAACTCATTGTGAAGAACTGAGTTTTAATGGGAACTATTAAGATGCATAATTTCTTTTAATATTAATATAATGATAATATATATCTATTTATTTTACATAATAATAATAAATGAGTTTAAATAATTCATAGTCTCAATTTGAAGTATAAATGTTTGTCTTTTTAAGGATTTAAATAATATAAACCTTCGTAATTATTTGTACGATATTACTTTAGTAATGAATAAATTGAAGAATTTATGGAAAACTAGGATTATGAACATGATAGTGAAGATGAAGGGATAGAAGATAATTTGATAGGAGGTTATTTATTATTAGTATCATTAATATAGGATATCATCCAGTTCATTTTAAAGAAGCACTACTAAATAGATATGTTGTTATGTAAAAGGGACGCTTTTCTACTGTATGGTTGGCTTAAGATTTTCAACATGATACTTTAGTGACTTTAAAATTTAAAAGAGTGCATCTCAATATTTGGAAGCTGTATAAGATTAAGTAATAGAAACCTAACTTGTTAGAAATTCTATAAAAAATTGCTTAGAACGTATATAAGTCAATTTGGATTCAATCACTTAAAGAATATTATGCAAATGTTTAGATTATCTGTTCTAATAATGTAGATGATTCACATAGACTTGCTTTATTGAAAAAATATATAAATTAAAGATTTGCATTTTAGAGTTTCAGAATTTCAGAAATATCATTCCAATTTCTGGATTGTCAAAGGCCAACACTGATTAATGAATTGGGCATAAAATGTATTATGAGGAATTTAAGATGTATATTAAACTAAAGAGAGAAAATGAAGAAAAGGAGCAATCTGATTAGAATATTGGAGGATTTAATTACCTTTATTTTAATAAAATAGAAGAGTATGAAGAATCATTTAATAATTTGGCATCAACTAGATCTTATGAAGGATCTAATTCATAAAGTTCTCAACAAGATAAAGTGATTAAAAAGAGGGGAAATATGATGATCATAGTGTGATTGATAGATCATTTATAGATTTAGGATATATAGGATATTGAGATGGAATAGATTTAGAATAATTAAGACAGTATTAGAAATTGGTAGTTTAGTTGAATTATATTACTTATTAAGTATGTAATAATTTTGAATGATTTTATAATTGAATTTTTTATTTCATTGATTGTGATGACCTTCAAATGCTCTGATATTATGGGCAGTATTAATCACAAAGTTGGATGTGTCAATCACATAACCTTTGGTTGCTGCTTCAAATAATTCAGGATGATGAACTATTCCTTCCTATTCCCATTTATAATTCAAATACTTTCATGAAATAAATAACTTCATCTTAAACTGTTGTACCCAATTCTTGGATATGATCAAGTTGGCATGCTAATTCATACTTTAATTGTCCTTCTTCTGTCAAAAAATCTGCATTATCACGATCATCAAATTTTGTGAAATCAGCAGTTAATGGATGTGATTAATATGTTTCAAACCAATAAGTGTTTTTATCATTAGCAAGAGTATTTGTCTCCATTTTTAATATTTTACCACCTCTAAGTAAAGAGAGTCTTTGTATTTTATATTACAATGATCTCCAATACCTATGAAAAAATGGAAAGATTCATTACCACATCCTTGGAATCCATAAAAATGAAGGTGCATAAATGAAAAGGTTGTTCCAATACCATGCAATATCTAATGGGTTCTTAAACCAAAGGTAAATGGACAATGGAATGGCTGTCTCATAAAGTACGTATGGATATTTAAGGAAGATAGTAAGATGTTTATGGGGATCACAAGAGTAACTAATGATTAGTGAGTGAATTACAGCAACACTTCTCCAATTCTATCAAACTCAATTGTATATGTTGGTTTGTAAATTCGATCAGTTTTGACAAGATATGAGGATTCATCATTCATGACCTAAGCTTTGTGTGCCACAGTGGCATTATGGAAATCTTTGATGTGGTTGAGTTGATAGAGATTCTTCAAGCCCAACCTTAATGTGTTTATTTATCTGGTGAGCATTAATTAAAGATATTATTAATTATATTTAAGTTTAGCAACAAGACAATGGAATATGAGGAATAAATGCTTGGAGAAAATTAAGATGAGCTTACATCAAATGTTAAGTATTAGCATATATACCAAAATAAATATTTCCTCTAAAATAAGAGAGTAAAAAGGTAGTGTTCATGAGAGTAGAATGTTAATTTAGATACAGATGCCTGGATTATAGAATATATTANGGATCTAATTCATAAAGTTCTCAACAAGATAAAGTGATTAAAAAGAGGGGAAATATGATGATCATAGTGTGATTGATAGATCATTTATAGATTTAGGATATATAGGATATTGAGATGGAATAGATTTAGAATAATTAAGACAGTATTAGAAATTGGTAGTTTAGTTGAATTATATTACTTATTAAGTATGTAATAATTTTGAATGATTTTATAATTGAATTTTTTATTTCATTGATTGTGATGACCTTCAAATGCTCTGATATTATGGGCAGTATTAATCACAAAGTTGGATGTGTCAATCACATAACCTTTGGTTGCTGCTTCAAATAATTCAGGATGATGAACTATTCCTTCCTATTCCCATTTATAATTCAAATACTTTCATGAAATAAATAACTTCATCTTAAACTGTTGTACCCAATTCTTGGATATGATCAAGTTGGCATGCTAATTCATACTTTAATTGTCCTTCTTCTGTCAAAAAATCTGCATTATCACGATCATCAAATTTTGTGAAATCAGCAGTTAATGGATGTGATTAATATGTTTCAAACCAATAAGTGTTTTTATCATTAGCAAGAGTATTTGTCTCCATTTTTAATATTTTACCACCTCTAAGTAAAGAGAGTCTTTGTATTTTATATTACAATGATCTCCAATACCTATGAAAAAATGGAAAGATTCATTACCACATCCTTGGAATCCATAAAAATGAAGGTGCATAAATGAAAAGGTTGTTCCAATACCATGCAATATCTAATGGGTTCTTAAACCAAAGGTAAATGGACAATGGAATGGCTGTCTCATAAAGTACGTATGGATATTTAAGGAAGATAGTAAGATGTTTATGGGGATCACAAGAGTAACTAATGATTAGTGAGTGAATTACAGCAACACTTCTCCAATTCTATCAAACTCAATTGTATATGTTGGTTTGTAAATTCGATCAGTTTTGACAAGATATGAGGATTCATCATTCATGACCTAAGCTTTGTGTGCCACAGTGGCATTATGGAAATCTTTGATGTGGTTGAGTTGATAGAGATTCTTCAAGCCCAACCTTAATGTGTTTATTTATCTGGTGAGCATTAATTAAAGATATTATTAATTATATTTAAGTTTAGCAACAAGACAATGGAATATGAGGAATAAATGCTTGGAGAAAATTAAGATGAGCTTACATCAAATGTTAAGTATTAGCATATATACCAAAATAAATATTTCCTCTAAAATAAGAGAGTAAAAAGGTAGTGTTCATGAGAGTAGAATGTTAATTTAGATACAGATGCCTGGATTATAGAATATATTAGCTTAAATGGTTTCCCAGTTGAAACTATATTTGTTAATTTTCATAAAAATTTTAACATTTGAATATTTTCCTTATGGGTAAGTTATGTTTGTACCTGATTAATAAAGAAAATTGGATTTTTAGATCTGGTTTGATGAATGTTTTCAGGTAGAAACAGAGTTATTCATCAGTATTGAATAGTATGTTAAATCAAAGTATTATTTTCAATGATCTTGCAAATTGTAATTATAAGGATCCCTGAGTTTATGATAGGAAATGAAAAAATAAGCAAGAAAATTTAGAGATGAGAAATATAAAATAATGTGAAATTAAATCGTTTTTGAGATGTGTCGTTTTTTATTTAATAAATAAATGAAAGGAATCATCGCTATCATTCTTGCATTGGCTGTGGTCTCAAATGCCACCAGCACAAAAGATTAAATCTTAGCTTTACTTTAAACAGGAACAAAAGCTAGTGATGCCATTGATACAGTCTTTGGATTGCTTAACGATTTAAAGTAATCAAACATCGATGCTCAATTTGCAGCTGACCAAAAAAATGAGACAGACGAATGGATTGGTGCTTAAACCATTGAATAATTCACAAAAATTAAGACTCTTAACCAAAAATTGTTCCAATAGGCTATTGAAAACAGAGCTGAATATGAAAACGTTCTTTAATAAACTAAAAATTATTTGGCATGGAATGAAGCAAGAAGAGATTCAATTGCTGCTAAAATTGATACACTCTAAGACAACTAATGCTTCTCCAACCAATTATTTGTTAAGTCCATAAAACATAATTAAGAAGCTTTGGAAGTGATTAGACTCCTCAAATAAGATGTTGCTGGATACATCATTAATGGAGATTCCTTTGAATTCACTTAAGTTTAAGCTCAATCAGTTGCTGAAAAATTAAAATAATATAGCAACCTCTTCCAAGAACATTAAATCAAGTCCTTCTTAGCACTTGCTTAAGATGAATAAGTATTTATTTATATAATATATTAATTAGGTATCTGAATCTTCTGGACATGGATAAACATTAGCTGAAAGAGTCTTGGGTGTTCTTGAAGGCTTAGAAAGTGAATTAGCTGCTTCATTAGAAAATTTGAAATAAAATGAAATCAATGCATCATGGGAATTGGCTGGTTGGGTTTCCTTATCAGAAGCTGAAATTGCCTCATTAGAAGTTGAATACGAAAGAAAATAAGTGTTTGCTGATAGAACTGCAACTGTATGATTTTAAATCCTAATTTTTTAATAGTAAATCCAAGCTGCTTTAGCTCAATAAGCTAAATCAAAGATCATCTTATAAGAATCATAAGATGCTTTAGATTAAGCACAATCTGATTTAGAAGCAAAGAGAGCTGATTATGCTGAAGCAAAAGCCAAGAGACAAGAAGAGAATGCCATCTTGGATGAAGTAATCATAATGTTCAAGAAATAAGTTGCCTCATGGTCTGGAAGATGATATTCTTTTTAAATACAAAATTAGTCAATCATAACAACATCACTAATATTATAGTTCTTAATTCTTTTATGTCTTAGTAAGAGTAGGCTTTTGTAATTACTTACTCTATTAATTAAATATTTTTTGATAGACTTACACATCATCTTCATCATCGTCTTCCATATAATCATCTCCTTCATACATAATTGTTTGAGAGTTTGTAAACCTATTCTTAAACTCTATATCTTACATATGATTTTTAGGATTATATGTGATAACCTAATCAGCTTCCTCATAATCTTAATACCTTTTTAAATGAGAGGTTTTCTGTATTAATTTTTCCCAACCTTAATTAAGTGAGCTCAGTAACTAATCTTTTGATGACAATTTATCTGCTGAATTCTCTTTTACTACAGATTCAGGAATACTTTCCTTAGTATCAATATCTATAGCTAATTTCTTTGGTTGTTATTGATTTTATTGAGATTATTACTATAATTCTTTTTTTTGTATTGAACTATTAGATGATGATCCAGAAAGTATATCTAATTATTTTTATTTAACTTCTTAAACATTAATTTGTTACTATTTGTTAGAACCAATAGGTTTTTACAATTCTTCCATAATTCTCTATTTATCTTCTTTACTCATAAGTTAATTTGATTGTTTCTTCATCATCATTTCTTTCTCTTCTGCATACAAATCTTACAAAGGTTAATGCATAGGTTATTAATTTTAATATTGTGAGTTTATTTGAGCCATATTCCAATCAACATATTATTATTCAATTTATGATTTTCTATTTTGCAACATTTTCTCATATTCTAGAATTGCTTATTTATCTAAGTCTTTTCTTGATATGCAAAAATTATCAAAGAATTGTAATTCTACATCATTTTATTATTATTCCAATTGTTTAATTTATTCATCACTAAAATTTACTGATAGTAATCTTCTCAAAAATAAATTTTATGTCTCTAATTCAATTTATTATGCTTATATTTCTTACCATTATTGTTCTTCCTATATTGTATGTTCTTCTATAACTTTGATCATTTGATTATATTTTTCTCTTATTTATTGAATGCATTCATTCTTCTTTGCAATTTCAGCATCTTTAATTCTTAATTTCAATTATAAATGTTCAATACTATTTAAATGATCTTGACATGTTTATTGTTTTAGTTTTTTAATCATTTTAGCCATCTTCTTAATGAGGTACATACATTCTTTGTTATTTTCATATAGAATCTTGTTATCTTAACAAAATTGATCTATTTTTTCTTTTTATTATTCAATCATCATTATATCTGATGGTCTTATTGGAAGTGTGGCAATTTCTTTTGACTTTCTTTATTCCTATTTCTTTGTTATATAGACTGCTCTTCTTTATTTTGGTACTTATCTGGTAGTTGTTGAATCATCATACTTTAGAGATTCCTCAGTTATTTATGCTTTTGAATTTTATTTATCGATTTCTTATTGTCTATCTATTTTCTAAGATGGAATAGCTCCTTATTCACATTGTCTAACTTATTGCAATTAGATAAAAAATTGTTTGATGAGTTCATACTTTTAAATAAAGGCAGGTTGTTATGGGTATTCGAATAACATAATTCAATTTAAAATTTAATTTATTAGTAGATAAAATATCAAAAAATCAATGTTGTTTTAATTATAAAGATAATAATTACATTCCCTATGAATCTGTGTATATTTTTTATGTTTTTGAATCAGCATCAATATATGTACAAATCTCATTTTAACAAAAGTGACACTTTGGTTTTTAAAACTCTAAGGCACATATATGACATATCTAATTAACACAACAACATGATGATAGAATGTCTAATATTGTTAATAAATTAGATATACAATTAAAATATTTAAAACATATTGGACATGACAATTGTGTATTTTATGTTAATGTTTCACTAAATATCAAATCATTAAGAGGATGTGATGTTTTAATCTTTTTTACCTTGTCTTGATAATAACCATCCAATAATTATAGAGAATACAATGAAGGATCTTTCTTATTCAATTTCAAATATTCACAAAATGTAGTTGTTATTATATATGTGTTTGGTGCTGTTTTTGGTTCTTAGATGTCAGACTGTGTTCCACAACAAAAGTACTTTTAAAAAAAAGAAACCTTTCTGTTCTTAGCCATTTTAGTAGTAAAAAAATTAAAAATGATTTTTAATGGTAATCAATTAGCAAATTCAATATTATAAACTCTTCGTGTTACTTCAAAAATAAAGCCAAAATTAGGAATTTGTTTAGTAGGAGATTCACCTGCATCAAAATCATATGTTAATAGGAAATTAAAAGCTTGTTAGGAAATTAATATTGATGCAGAATTATTTAATTTTTCAGAGAATGTTGAATAAGATTAATTGATTAAACATATCTAATCAATGAATCATGATGGTATATTAGTGTAAGTATTTTAATATATAAAAATATTAATAGTTACCATTACCATTACATCTGAATAAGTTGGATATCATTCATTCAATTCCTTATGAAAAAGATGTGGATTGTTTACATATGCATAATTTATAAAGAATTTTAGTTTATGGAGAATTATGTGAGATGTTACCATGTACTCCTGCAGCAGTATTATAAATTTTGGATTATTATGATGTGAATGTAATTGGCAAGAAAGTTACAGTTATAGGTAGAAGTTTCTTAGTTGGATTACCATTATCATTGTTATTACAAAAAAGAAATGCTACAGTAACTGTTTGTCATAGGGAAACATTAAATTTAGATTAACATATTATGAATGCAGATATTGTTATAAGTGCAGCTGGACATCCAAAATTAGTTAGAAATGTTAAATAAGGAGCTATAGTAATTGATGTTGGAATCTCATAAGGTGAATAGAAAGGTAGAATTGTTGGAGATGTTGATTTTAATGTTGTCAAAAATTAGGCATCAATTATTACTCCTGTTCCTGGAGGAGTTGGACCAATGACAATATGTATGTTAATGAGGAATCTGTGTAATATTTGGAAGAAGAAATAAGGATAGCCTGTTTATATCAATCCGAAATTGAGTGATGCTTATTTGAATGATTGATTAAAATTAATATGAGTAAAAATGATAAAAATCAAAAGTTGACTGCTTATGAAAGTTATAAGAAAATAGAATCTGAAATCAAATTTCAAACGAATCTCTTAGAGAAATCAAATCCAACTATCAGGTGTCCAATACATTAATATAATTACTCCAAAACTTGTAGGTAGTACTCAAAATTTGAATCATTAGATAATGTAAGAAAATTGTTGTAGAAGAAGTACCAACATATTAAGAAAAATCAATTAATATGGACAAATATCATTATGATGTTGGAGATAGAGGAGATAATATAATACCAATGTATTTGTGAAAATTTAATGAAAGTCGAGGAGAAAATGCTATTAGCAATATGAATTCATTAGTTAGATAAAATATACTAACATGTCAATATTATAAAGAATTACTATAGATTAGAGATATTAATGATATTGTCACAGAGACAGATAAGATTGTTACTTCTGTTGGTACTTGGGCAGGTCCAGGAGTACCATCATCTTTTTTTTGTATATTACATAAATTGATGAGTATGAATTTGAATGGTATACTTAATTAAATAAATATATTAGTAAAATAATTACAAATTTTATGTGATTGGAAATTAAATCCATATGTTAGATGTTTAGGATTATTATATTTAAGATATTCATTAGATCCAAATTTTTTATGGGGATGGATGAAGAGATATATTTTAGATGAATAAGGTAT